AAATTTCCTGGTTTCCAACAGACCACAGTATACTGTTTTGTCAAGTACAAACATCACAACAAACTGGTTCTCTTGCCTACAAGCAAAAAATAAAGCAAAATTTGGAATGCAACTGCAGTATATTTCATGTGATTTGGGTGCCAAAATAAGATTAATTTAGAAACCGGGAATCTTCAGGCTAAGATGTGTATGAGAAAGTGTAGAGCCTGCAAGTCTTGTTACATCTGAATTGTCACTTGCAAGGACATACTCATGTCTTTCAGTAAGGAATGCTGTATTTGACATTTTAAAGCTGTGTATTCATCCATGAATATCGGAGGTCTTACTAAGCATTGTATACCTCAGGGTTGAGGAATGCTTTGGAGTTGGATGTGTGCTGAAATTGACTGGTCAGTCTCCTAAGTCTGCTAAAGTAAATACTTTCAGGACTTTAGTATTCTCTTTTGGACTGAATCTAGACTTGCCAGCTGGAAAAAAAAGTGTTCTCAAAGTACCCAAATCAAATCCTCTCTTAGGGGACCTAAGTAATCCCTGGACTTCCAGACTCTAAGGGGACCCGGGGACCCACCCTCAATGGCCACATGCCAAAGCAGCAATACAGATAGTGCCTTTAAAGCAAAGCTTGACTGGGATTGGCCATTTAATACCTCACTGTCTGACAATCATCTGAGAAGCAGCCTTGAGCCAGGGGTAAAGAAAGGAGGAGATGAGTTATAGCTGGGATGTGGGGGTAGTTCCACGGAATTGGTCAGATCCCATGGGAGTTCCAGAGCTGTGGAGCCTCCAAAGGGGTTGGCCCCAGGATGAGGGCCATGCCCTTCATAAGGTGAAGGGAAATTGTCTAGGGAAGGCACACGGCTCCTGCTCCTCAGGTTGAAAGGAGCAGGGTCAGGAGAGAGGTGGAGAACAAGGATGAAGGAAACCTTCCTTCCTTCTCTGATTGAGGCCCGTGGGAGGGTACATAATGCCCCTTGCTGGCAAGGTTCTGCCAGTTTTTGGTGGGTTTTTCCATTCCCTAAAACAGATTCAGAGGTGCAGTTTAGTTTCTGTGGAAATAGGAAGATAATACTCTTATGACTCGCAATGCCGGCTACTCTATTTAGGGAGGGATGTACCATCAGCTGCAGCATTGCAAAACGGCATGTTGGTTTGACCTTCTAGCACAGTTATGACAGGCTGTTGTCTTCCAAACGAGTTAAAATAGGTCATTGATTCCTGAAGTTTATTGTACTGCAAACCACTATTTGGCTTGCTTGTTCCAAATGCCAGATGGGCAGACGCTTGAAAGGTGTTCAGATTTGCATATATTTGGTAGTGTGGTTATCGGCCAAGACAGGACAATCAATTAATTTTAGTAAATTGCCATAGGTTCAGCCACTGAGTGACCCTTCGCTCCTGTTTTTTGCCCAGAAACTATCTGTATTGGAATCAGTATTCTGATTATATCAATAAAGGAAAATTAGCTTTTACCTTTTCATTTCACCTGGTCTTGTTAGCTACTGCCAGCTCCTGTTTCTGGTTGAGATTTACTTGTATGTGCTGCTCTGGAGGAGGGCAAGGAGGTTAGATGAAAGAACAGTGGCATACAAAAGCAGAAAAGAAGAAGCACCTTCTAATGTCAGTCCCAGTCAGCCCATATCATGACTGTTCATTCTCAGAGAAAACCTGTTTGGATTCATCGTATTAAGTTCTTTCAAATTATGCAGCCTGTTGTATACCATTTTCTGAACAACAGTAAAAACCGTATTATCTGGCTTGCTGCGTTAACGAACACCCTAACCTCCACTGCCTGCTGACATGGGAAAGCTAACAATGAATTAAGGAAATAAATGAATAAATATAAATCATGTATGACTTAACATCACATAAGACTCCAGATATTTCTCAAAAATACACCACCAGTATTCAGTACATGAAATACATGAGCTGCAATAAATAGGCTAGAGATTTAAAGCAATATGTCACATTTACTAGTGGACACTCCCAAAAGAAATACTTCACAGATTCTAAGTTCACAGTTTCAATGGACTGAAGAACATGAGCTTCAAATGTCCATAAAGCAAGTACATAAAGATAAACAGTATAAAGTATGTTGCAATCAGCAAGAAGATCCAGTCCTTAAGACTTGAGACATACAACAAGAAATAGGCTGCAATCAACTCATCCTCCAGAAGTTCCTGTGACTGTGCCTCTTTGGGAGTCCCCGTTTGTAGTCCTGATGAAGGCATCAAAAACTCATTGAATAATCTGAGACTCTGAGTGAAGGGCAGGGTATAAATCCAATCTCCTCCTCCTCCTCCATGCTGTTGGACATGAATTTAAAAGGCTGGGATGCTTTGTATTCCAGCCCTTTAAATCACTACCCTGCCACAAAGCTGGTCAGCAGGTCATGGGGGTCAGAAGGCAAGTTCTGGCCATGGCCAGAGTGCATCTCCCACACTGGTATGATACCACCTGCTGGTCATCTCTGTGGAGGGTGAGGATTTAAATGACTGGAATGCTGTCCCTGCAGTTTAAATTGCTGCCTGTCACAGAGCTCATTGGCGGTATGGGCAGCTGGGCATTCTGGCCAAGGGTGCCACCCCTTCTGCTGCCCAGGGGCAGTACCCTTGGCCAGAGGCCCGGCAGGACTAAAGCTCACTCCTCCTCCAGCAACCCCACCCCTTCTGCTGCCCAGGGGCAGTACCAGAAGCCCAGCAGGACTAAAGCTCACTCCTCCAGCAACTCTAGTTCCTTAGTCATGCCAATTAATGCAGCTTTCATTGTAGTAAATTTAAATATTTAAGATAATTGTATTTTCGCCTCTGCTGTTGTGTAGAGGTGCCTTTTAGTTTTAAGCTGGTACGCTCTTATGGTTATAGCAGCCAGTTTAATAATGCTCTTTCATTTTTCAGCATGGAGCTCAAGCCATATCAGAAGATTGGCTTGAATTGGCTAGCACTGTTACATAAACATTCACTGAATGGTATTCTAGCTGATGAAATGGTAAGTTGAAATATCATCTTTTTATGACCTCATTTACTTTTTGACAGTGTAACAGGTAACTGCCTGACCATTACTGGCTGAATTGCTTGTCAGGTTGGCATTAGTTGCCAAAGACAGCAATGTAATGCAGTCACAGACAGAAGGGGTCATGTGGGTAAGGGTTTGTCTTAGTGCATGTGCTACTCAGTAACAACTTGGGAAGGGGAGTACTTAGGTGAGACTAAGGGGGGGATTCTGTCTAGCTGTTTGATAGTTTTGACAGCTGAAGCTGCGAAAATTAATTAGTAGGGAAGTGGTAGAAGCAGCAGGTGTGCATGCACAGGGTTAGATCTTTCTCATTGGAGAAGGATGCTGATCTTTCTGATAGGATGGTTCTCCTGGCAATGAATTTGATATTTTCAGCGTTCCTTGGGCTTCTGTATACAAGGAGGTGTGCATGTGTAAAGGGAGCAGCAACTGTCTATAGAATATGGGAGCTGAGTCAGATTGCAGGAGAGGGTACTTGTAAGAATGGAGTGCAAGTGAGTTTACATAGGCCAAATAGCCCACAACCCGTAGCTATTCCATGAATTAAAGAAGTGGAGTAAGATCCAACCTGGATCCTTTTTTATTTTATTTTTTGTTTGTTTTCCAGAGTACTGTAGGGTAGCTTTGCAAGTGTAGGAATGGGGCGGGGAGAGGACAGTCAGCTACAGCTGCCCATTAGAACCCGAAGGCCAAAGAGTATGGGACAAGGGCAAGCTGGAATTCAGCTGGCTGGGAAGGTGTTGTAGATAAGGAGGTATGTAGTGTTCAGGAGGCTTCTAATGGTATAGAGGTAAAGAAGCAAGTTTAATGTGTTTACTTTCAAGTAGTTATTATAGAGCAGAGTTTAATATGCGACTTTGAGTATGGTTCCCTTATACTTCTGGTTTTTCAATCTAAATTTAACCTACACATTTTTTTATTTAAAATTGACCATGTCAGAAAAACATACATTCAGTAACATCACAAAACCCAGAGACAACTACAAATTCTGTCACTTGCTAGACAGACAGTTTAAGTCCTACTTAGGAGTGAAAACTCATTTTTTTAAAAGAAGACCCTTTAAAAGAGAGCATTTAGAAAAGGCCTTCAGAATTCAGGTTTATGAACTGCCTTTTAAAGCCTGTTCCATAATGTTGGGTCAGCAATTGAGCAAGCCCAGGAACAAACAGAAACAGAACATGCCACAAAGTTTGTGTTTGGGGGTGAGGAGGAAAGGACTGAGAGGAGAGGGAATGAGGAGCTCAGTTAAACAATGATGCTACAGCATCATTACTGTTAAAGTAGATGTGTGTTTTTTCCTTAAACCATTCTTGTTCTTGCCTAGGGTTTAGGAAAAACTATTCAAGCAATTGCATTCCTTGCATACCTTTACCTAGAGGGTGATATAGGCCCACATTTGATTGTAGTGCCAGCATCAACAATTGGTGAGTAAAGAATTTCATAATCATCAGTTTTGAAAAAAAGAAAATCATGATTGTTTTGCATGCATATCCTGTCCTTCCTGCAAAGAACTCAGAACTCCTAATAGGAGAGGGGTGAGGGAGAGAGAGAGAATATGTGAGAATGTGAATGTGCCTGGCCCAAGGTGTTTACCCAGTTTGATTCATGGCAGAGAAGGGTTTTGATTCCAGGTCTCCTTCAGATGAGTCTTCACCATTGTCTGTACTATCTTGATTGGAGTCAGAATGATACTCTAGATTTGTAGTTCAGTAAAAAGCAAGTTACTTCAATATTGATCTGTGTGTACATGTGTTGAATCTTTTTCATAACAATTTGAAATGTCTGTTTTTAATAGATAACTGGGTACGAGAAATTAATCTGTGGTGTCCTGATCTCCAAATCTTATTTTATTATGGTAAGATTAATTTTTTTTGGTATCATGATAAAATATTTCTGGAAATACAATATGTTCGCTTGCAGATAAGACAAACCAAAATTGCAGTAAAGCTCATGGGAATTTTTTAAAATGTGCATAATAAAACAATACAAACATTTTTGTAAGAAACAAGCACATTATATGCTTGAACAAACAAACACATATAAACATTGAAGTGATATAATCCAACCTTTCTTTAGACAGATATAGCCAATCCAGATTTGTGTCAATACTGGAAAAATAGTTTGAAATAAATATGAATTAATACATTAAGTAAGAATAAAGAAATTAATACTGATGACCAGTTTCTTCTAATTAAGTTTCTATTGGCTGTTAACCAAGCCATCAGTTTCATAATTAACTCCCCCCTTTTTGTATCCGTGCTCAGTTTAGATTGTTTTCCAATATTGCGTGTTGCTGTTCAAGATTTTTTAGTTGTAGTAAAAAATTATTGACTTTCTAAATTTATTTATTTTTAATAGTAAAAATGTGTGTAATAATAGTTTTCCCATTTGCCTTGCTTCCCAAATACTTCAGTAACATTTTTAGTGCTATCTGAAAAAACTGAGAGAGCTCTAACTTAACTTTGGATAAAATCTTGCTATTTTCTTTCCAGGTTGAACTTTAAAAATCATGGGAACATGTTCTGCATAAACTAAAGGATCAATTTTACTACAGCAGACTGAATCCCTTAACAGGTTGCAACTAAAAGGGTCCCTAAAGTGGGTTTCCCCGTTTTTCTTGTACAATCTAGACCACCGTGCATTACACTATTAATCACTGCCTAGAACTGGCTCTCCTACAAATGCAACGAAAATATTAGAGTATTCATTATAAAAATGTAGTTGCTTAGCATTAAGGACATATGTAGAAGTACCAATAAATACTTCCTTCCCCAAAACAAATCAACCTGTCCTGCTTTATCATACAGAACATACTGTATAGAGTATTCAGTGTTTCTAAGTAAATAAGCTGTACATTTTGACTTTTCGACTTTTGTTATAACACACCATTAGCTCTTTATTTACTCTCCAAAAAAGCATACACTGGGGCTCACTGAATCAGTAATTGCAATTAAAAATGATTAGGCAGATTGATTATGATAGTTTTTCATGCTCGATGAATTTGTTCATCACAATATTTTGGAATACTTCCCCCTGATTCTCTCTCCTCCTGTGCTTATCATCTGACCTCACCTGGTCTTCTTGGGCATTGCCCATTCAACGGGTTATGAGAGGCTGCCTTTTGCTCACTTGCTAAAATACATTAAGTTTTTCATATTTTATTGGAATGTCTTCTATATTATATTTTAAAATGTCATTTTGGGAAATACATAGAGAGTATAAATGAAATTTCAGATTGTTACACTGCTCCAGGCACTGAGCTATAGAGCTTTTATTGGACAAAGAAAAGGAAAAAAGCATATAGGGCTGAATCCCATTGAACAGATCCACAATTCCCCTCCTCCCTCTCCCTCTCTGTATTGCTTTTGGGACAGCCCCCCCAAGAGCAACATTCCAAGAAGCATTTTTGGTTGCTTTGGGAGGCTGGGAATTTGCACTTCCGTGCACAGAGTTCCACGCACAACCCAAACCTTAAATAGCCAAGAGGGTACATATAATCTAAGACTATTCTGTTATTTCACAAACTCAGATCTGTGTTGGTATAAAGAGAAAACTACCCATCTCGAACAATAATCGCAAGAAATTTTTTGTATCCGTGTATGGCTGAGAGGTTAAGACACTGAGCTGCAGACTGGAAGGTCTGTAGCTCAGCAGTTCAAGACCTTAGTGCCGCGTGATGGAGTCAGTTTCTGTCTCTGGCCCCAGCTCCTGCCAACCGAGCAGCTTGAAAGCAAGGAATTGCAAGTAGATAAATAGGCACCACTTCGGTGGGAAGATCCGTGTTCCGTGTGCCTCAGCGTTTAGTCATGCTGGCCACATGACCACGAAAACGTCTTCGGATAGCGCTGGCTCTTTGGCTTGGAAACAGAGATTAGCACCACCCTCTAGAGCGATGTTCCCTCTAAGCTGAGGAGTGTTGTGAGCAAAAATTCTACTTTTGTGACTGCCGGCATTAAAGTTGTGAGCGAGCAATTTGGCTCCTGCATAAATTAGTTTGCTCCGGAGCCATCCTCCCTGAGCGAAGACAAAAAATGTGTGAGCTGGAGGCTAAAAAACCGTGAGCTGGCTCACACTGCTCTAGAGTCAGATTCGACTCACTTTCGAGCAAGGGAAAACTTTACCTTTATCTGTTATTGCCTGTATCCCAAATCTGTACTGCCTTAAAACAGTATTTTACATTTGTTATAACAGCATTGTAATCAAACAGATTTTAACTTAAATATATAATTGCACATTTTTAAAGGTTATCCTTGCACAGCTGTTCATCTATAATAATTTTGTTTTCCACCACCACCACCCCCAAAAAGAAATAAGGTGCAGCAGTTACAACATCAGATGTAAGGACCAGAGAGTGTGTAACTGGTCCAGAGTCATCCAGCAAGCTTCCACGGCAGAGTGGGAATTTGAACCTGCATCTCCCAGGTCCCAGTCTGGCGTTCTAATGACTACTCCTCATTTTAAAATGCGATTAACACAATATTCAGTTTAAAAGTGAAGGGGAGAGAACGCCATTGAGCAGGGGTAGCAGCTGAGAAAGCCCTTATGCAGTTTCCAGTATTCAGATTTTCCCAGTTGAGGCTTTCTGCAATAAAACTCGTATGGCTCTCCTCGGAGCATGAACTGAAACACGCTCTGGGCTCCATCTGCCTTTTCTCAAATTTGTTAGTACATTTTAAGGTTAATGAAAGCTCAGGTTAAAAGCTGTAAAGTTAGTACTGTGAGTTAATCATATAGTCGGTAGCAAGCAAGCCAGGGGCTCTTGTCTGTTTGTCGAGAGATGAAGAGGAAGAAAAGAAAATGGAGAGAACAAACTAACCACCTGCATGTCATTCCCTGCTGAAGGACCACACTAGAAGGCTTTGCTCTTCTACTGTTACCCTAGTGGTGATGCCCACAATGTGTGTTTAGGGTGCTGCCAGTACCAATAATAGGTTACATTTAAGGGGTGCAGCTGTTAGCAGTCCTGGTGGGTGCTGCATTTCCATCTCTCTTCACTTGCCCTGCTAGGTATGGTGATACCTGTTCTACACTATGGGAAATGGGTAGAGAAAGAGCATTTCTCCAGCCATGTTGGTCTGTTGCAGCTTCAGAACCTCTTCCTATGTCCCCATCCCCTCCCAATGCCTTTTTTAAAGGCTTTTCCATTTTCTGCTAGGTTCTCAAGATGATAGAAAGCACCTCCGAATGGATATCCATAACAAAGTTGTCGATTTTAATGTGATGGTAACAACGTAAGTACATGTATTTTGTAGCGTGTGGCCGCTTCCTCAATAACAAGGGACAGATAGGAACACTGGAAAGGAACATCTGTCTCTCTGTATGAAGGCCTGTTCCAAACACTCTGTCTCATTCTGGTATATCTCAAGGTCACCACTTTTTTCTGTATAAGGGAATAGTAATCATTCTCTGTTCTGGGGGAAATTGTGCTGTTTTGGTTGAAATTGTTGTGGTAAAAGAAAAACCTGCCCTCTACACCTGAGCATTTGGGAGGGACCCCAGTGGAGGTGGGGTGGAGTGTGCATATGGGTACATCCACTGTTTCCCCAGGGGTTTGCAGTATACAGACCATTTCTTTATTCTCAGTCCTGCCCTGACCTGGCTAGCCCAATCTCGTTGGATCACGGAAGCTATGCAGGGTCAGCTCTGGCTAGCATTTGGATGGGAGGCCACCAAGGAATACCAGGGTCGCTACACAGAGGCAGGCAATGGCAAACCACCTCTGAACTTCGCTTTCCTTGAAAACCCTGTGGGGGGTCACCATAAATCAGCTGTGACTTGACAGCACTTTCTATCACCACTCTCAACCCACTCATCACTCTTACCTGTACAAGATCTGTTATTTAGGAGAAGGAGGAAAGACTGTTGCTGAACTGGGCAAAAAAAGGAAGGAGTTCCGTAGTAATACTAGCTGCCTTAAACCACACTGAGTAACATAAAGGTACATAGAAGTCCTGCTTTGGGCTAAATATGTTCATTTGCACGTGGATGTTAGTATTCATAGGCCATCAAAACACAAATTATAAAGTTGAGGCTCCAGTTTCAGCGACTTCCTTTTTAAAAAGAAGAAATGGGGAAGAAATAAAAGCATGATTGATTCTCATGTTAAATAGCATCTGAAGGACCATCTCCTTCCATTTGTCCCTCTGCGCCAACAATGGTCATCAAGCAGCCATCTGCTGGCTGTCCCACCACTTAGGGTGGCCCATCTGGCATCGACCAGAGCCCAAGGCTTTTCCATCGTGCCTCTGGCTCGGTGGCATGGGCTTCCTGAAGAGGCAAGAGGGGGGCCCCCTTCAAGGAGACCTTCAGGAGGTACTGCAAGGCCTGCCTGTTTACCAGGGCTTTTGAGAGGGTGTGAACAGCAGGCATCTTTTAAGGGGGGGGAGGGGTCTGTTATTTTATCTTTGACTTTAGTTGGATGTTGTAAGCTGCTTTGAACCAAGAGGAAAGCTGGGGTATACATATTTTAATAAATAAATAAATACATTTGCTTGAGGTGTAGAGTGTCGCTTTACAGTTACAAGGTAAACCTAACCCCTGGGGTTTACAGGAATGCAATATTCTACCTGGGGGGGGGGTGTTAGTTCAAAGGCAGTCTTCCATTCATGGGAAAGTGTCTTCTGCTCACTGGTGGACTCATCTGTGCCTTGCATTAGAGTTCTGCCTGAGGAAAGTAAAATGAAATCTTGAGATTCCTGTGTTTGCACAACCTCTTGCAAATATAGAAGCGTAAGAACAGCTGTAGTTCCCTCCAGTTCTGGCACTGTGTGAACTCCTTGAGGACCTGCGGGGCCTGTGTTCATAGCCATTTCCATTCAATTTACCATTCTGTGGCTCTAACATGGTTTAATCAGCTGTTGCCTCGAGAATAGGATTAGATGAAAGGTGCCTGTCTAGAAAGTGTGTCCCTGTGTTATATCCTTTGCTTTTGCTATCCTTGTGAATGTCAGAATATACTGTTTCTATTTTAAAGGGTACGTGCTTATAGTTGTTCTGTCGGTAGGTACAACAGTGCAGTCAGCAGTCCAGAAGACCGTAGTCTGTTTCGGCGGATGAAACTTCATTATGCAATCTTCGATGAAGGTCATATGTTAAAAAACATGGGTTCCGTACGCTATCAGCATCTGATGACGATTAATGTAAGAATCTGATCCTCCTATTCTCAGCACTTCCCCCTCTAATGTTATGATACGTTTCAGACTTTACAAACTCTTGCTTTTTAAAAGTTCTTTTAAGAATGAGCCCTGACATTGTATTACGACGTTGCTTGTCACTTGGAGAGCTGCTTGGCTGCAGGTTGTCACATTAAGAACTGAGGAAGAAAAGTTAACCTTCTGGTCTGAAGACTGTGCAAGTTGGTAGTCTAAATAGGTGGTTGACTAGTTAACCCTAGGTGATTTGAACCGCAATCCCCCCCGAAATGACCTCTGACCCTAGGTGATTTGAGTTTTTGACACTTGAATGGCTTTGCCTGTGATGTGAGGATTTTAGCAAGCATACTTCTCTTAGGCTGCTCTCTCTTCAACGTTTTATCTGAAGCAGGATTTTTGCACATGTATGTTCCATTTCAGAAGCGCTATATCCCTGCTATCCTGAAGTGACTCCTTGATTCTCTAGACTCGGGTCCAGGAGCTCCTTAGAGACCAAGAAGATTCTTGAGGTACAAGGTTTCAAGAATCAGAACCCCCTTCATTAGATCTGACGAAGGGAGATTGCGTCTCAAAAGCTTCTACCCTGAAAATCTTCGTTGGTCTCTAAGGTGCTTCCTGGACTTGAATCTAGGTCTCCTTCTGCAGACCAACATGGCTAGCCCCTGAAACGACCTCCCTGATTCACATAAGGGGTAGGCAGACTGTCCCTCAGAAAAAGCCCAGTGATTTTTCTTACCACATTATCTGATAAGAGGATTAAATTCCTGAACAGGGAGATGCCTCTTGTGGGTTGGATCCAGACTAAACTGGCAGTTTCCACTAAGTCCCTCTTCCTGCTGCAGGACACACACACACACACCCCATACACACACACACAATGCCTCAGGGTCCCCTTTCCTCCTGGGGCAGCATTTAATGGAGATCAGTGAGCTGCAGTGGGAAGGGGAGAGAACAGCTCTGAAAGAACTTGTAGCTGATCCAAGGTCACACCAGCAGCTGTATGGTGGAGGAGTGAGGAATGAAATCCGGTTCTCCCAGATTAGAGTCTGCGCTCCTAACCACTACACCAAACTGGCTCTGTACACTAGGAAAGGCTTAAGAGTTCTGCTGTTGGGAAATTGAGTCTGGAAACAACCCTGGGTTGCAGTGCCATTTTCTTGAGTTGCTTGTGGGTTTTTTAATGGGTGCTCTCATTATATAAACATTAACATTTGTTCAAAAAAATTTTTTTTTGCTTTTTATTATAAAAAACAGGCAAAGCATCGTTTGCTGCTGACAGGAACTCCAGTTCAAAACAATCTTCTAGAACTTATGTCACTCCTGAATTTTGTCATGCCACATATGTTCAGTAGTAGCACCAGTGAAATTAGGCGGATGTTCTCTTCTAAACCAGTAAGTATATATTGAGTTGATATTTATTGTTGAGAAGTCAAAATTTGTGTATGGTCTTTTTAATGGAACCTCTTCTATACCAGATCCTCAGACAAACAAAGACATATTTCAGAAAAGTCACCATGCAGTGTTCAAACATAAGACCCAGTTATCCCATTTTTGATTAGTGGGTCTAAACATGTTGGTAATTATAAGCTCTTCATTATGATATTGGGAGTGTTTGGCTCTGAACATTCAGACTGAAGCAAATGGTAAAACTGACACAGATGTTAACGTACTTTGCTTTCAACTTCTACAGGAAGTTCACTTTATAACTTTTAAATGCTTTCCCTTAGAAAGCGGCTGAGGAACATAGTGTGTA